GGGGGCTCAACATCCCTCTTTCCCGCGGCTGTGCAATGAGGGCTTCCACTCTTAGTTTGCTGTTTTTCTTCCTTGGCTGAATCTGATGAAGGAAAGGTGGTGCAAATGTATGCTGGTCCAAGGGATGCTTCTGACAGCATGCAGGATGGTATTCATCGGTTCTTTGGATGTCTCTGGCTTGGGACTGGTTTCCAGCAGCTTACTTAAGGAGTCTGCCATCTACTTCACGTGTTCTCTGTTTTTCAAAAAAGGCTGAAGCTCTTGTGGGCCTTTTTTTGGGTTTTTCTAAGGGCCAAGATGGCTTTCTAAGCAAATGGGCTTATTGGGCTTGATTTGGGCTTATTATTATTTTTTGGTTGGGTTATCTCTTGGCTAGGTTATTTTGCTTGGGCTTTTGGGCTATTTTTCTCTCTTGTGCTTACCCACATGTTTGGACCTAAGAAATGGGCCTGAGTCTCGAGGCTCCCAAGCAACCCGAGACTTTCCATTTCTTGGTCCATCAATGGGCCTCATGTTGATTTATTACCATCCATGCCACAACCCACTCAAGCAAGCCCCGGGTCTTTTTGAGTGGCTTGGGCCCACTTAGGCTTGTAGCGTGGTTGGGTGCGAGATAACGGCACGGCATGTTGCTCGGCATATTTTACTTTATCGCCCTTTTGAAGGATTGTTTTAATTTTTTTAGCATGATTATATTTTATCATAGCATGATAATTTGTTTATTTAGCGTGGCGTGTGGGTTATAACTTGCATGCGATAGATCCTTTTTTTCTTTTCCCTTACGAAATATTGTATTGGGCTGATAATTGTTCGGGCCCAATCCATGGATTTTTTGGACCTCAACAGTTTGTAACTTTAATTAACTTTGAATTGGATTTTTCCTTTGGGTTGTAACTTTAATTCATTTTGCATTGCATTTTCCTTTTGGTTTGTAACTTTAAAGGATTTGGAATTGGAATACTTGAGAAGTTGAGGTTGTAAATGCTTGAGAAGTTTAACTTTAATTGGAATGCTTGGAATTGTAACTTTAATTTTCTTTAGGTTGTGAATGCTTGAGAAGTTGAGGAGATTGTGAATTTATATATGTTTGAGAAGTTGAGGTTGTGAATTTATATTTTTGGGTTAAAGTATGCTTGAAATCAAAAAGTTTCAAAAGAAGCATCAAAATTAGACCTAAAATGTGGAAGATTGGATTTTTATGACACAAAAAGAACTTGTGGTTTTAAACCGCTAATTCATGGTAACCGACCGTTTTTTGCGGTTTCAAAAATCATCATACCGCAAATAGTCGGTTGGTTTGCGATTTGGGCAAAAATTCGCGGTTACCGAACCGCAACCACCGTTATTATTGAGTGCTCCTACTGTATATAACACTGACAAAAGGTGACAACAAATTTGACCAAATCTTCTTTAGCTTCTTCATGAGTTTGTTGCCTTCAGCATAGCAAATTACACAAATAAAATTAGATTTTCTGCCATACGATGACGACATATGACATTAACAGCACAGATCGTATAGCTGAAAAATCCTAGAAAATAAGAAACAAACACACAAGGACTTCCAATTTTTATCCCATGTCACGAATGCAATATTAATTTGTTGTGCCTGTGGGGACATGTAATTAGTACACTTTGTAAACAAGGAAGCTAACTTGTGTTAAATTCAACTAGAGTTGTTGCATTGCATAGTCAATGGGGTTTAGCCCAGTGAAAAATGATATTGATTTACAGATTAGTGGTTTTAAATTCAAACCTCCATCTTTGTGACACCATCATAGTATGTGCAAGTTTGGAGATTATCGCTTAGCTTGTACTCCCAAAAAAACTGAGAGTAGTTTTTATTATTTATTTTTGGGCTAATTAATGAAGGTCTCCGAAGCTGTTTAAGTTGGTACAAGGCCCAAGTAGTTGATTGGACTTTGGACCATAATTTAATAAGTCCTTTTCATGGGGCCTTTACGATCACGAATTGGAATTGGGTCAGCGTGAAGTTTGAACGTGAGATGTCCAATAGCGTTGCGCTAAGTGTCCCTATATATTCATAAATCAACTGGGATCTAGACAGACCCTACGCAAAAACCAAAGTGAACGAAACCTTTCCTTCCATTGACTCCAAATAATTAGCCAATTTGGACTTCGGGTGCCCGTTGTAGGAAAAATATTAAAATTGAATTAGTCATCAATCCAATTTGATTGCCATTTGTCCAGGAAAGAATAGAAAGAGTATTGTATGACCAGTGTTTTATTTCCTCCTACACATGTAATATATGTGGTAATGTCATGTCAAGTTTTTAATTAAAATCACATGGTATAAGAATTGGCATGTTGGAATTTGACGTTGGTGACGCTCATGTGAGCTTAGTTTGACCAGTATTGTAGGTGTTTTTTAAAGACATCAACGAACGATCATGATCAATCTCATCATTCTTCAGAGACTAATCAAATGAAAATGTTGAAAATTCAACAGAATTAATAAAATAAAACAAAGAAGAATGAGATCATAGATGATGTAGCAAATGAGAAATTTCCAAATGGCTGTGTTTTCAGGACTAGAATTAAAGAAAGGACAGGTTGACAGGCTGACAGTGTTCTTCACCACATGATATCATGCACATGTGTGTTCAACATATATATAATTTTATGACAACTTGCACAAAGTACTACTATAAAAGGAGCATGAAACCTATCATTTTTCACACCTTGTGCTAGCAACAGTGCTTACCAAGTAGAGAGAAAAAAATATTCCATAAACATCCCAGTTCTTGTGAAATGGGTTCCCTAACATTGCCTAAGCTCCCTACCATCAATTTCTCCATTGAAGACTTGAAGCCTGGATCAGCTTCTTGGCTGTCCACCGCCAAACAAGTCCGGTTTGCGCTTGAAGAATACGGCTCTTTCGTGGCACAATATGAGCAAATTTCTGCGAAACTTTTAAACAACATGTTTGGCCAAGCCAAAGATTTATTTGAGGTTCCCAAAGAAAACAAAGTCAAGAACGTTGGTGTGGAACCCTATCGTGGGCATATGGGTCCAAGCCCCAGCATGCCACTCTATGAAAGCTTGTGCATCGATAATGTGACATCCCCACAAGAAACCCAAAAGTTCAAAAATCTCATGTGGCCCGAAGGAAAGAGCAACTTCTGGTAATTTCATTTGTATATAAAAATATTTTATATTATTGATAGCTCCTCTATATTATTTGCAGGGTTCATAATTTGATTTGAATTCACAATATGACAATATAAGCATTTTTTTTGGCGATACAAGCGTACTAAAGAAGATGACTCGATTAATTTCTTAATTTGTTATTTATTGTACATACTTCCATCTTATTTTTTCTTGTTTTGGCGCATGCAGTGAAACCACAGATTCATTTGGTCAGTTATTGGCAAATTTGGAACGCACAGTTGAGCAACTGCTATTCGAAAGCTATGGGATTGGAAAGCAGTACGAGTCGGTTGGTAGTTCCAACGGTCACCTTCTTAGATTCATCAGATATACAGTACCAGAGGACAAGGATGCCACCGTAAGGTTTCCGAGCCACACAGACATAAACTTCACCACCATTGTCGTTCAGCATGATGTCGCTGGCTTGGAGGTTAGAACAAAGGAAGGAGATTGGATTAGTGTTGAGTGCAAACCCTCACAAGTACAGTTCGTATTCATGGCGGGTGATGGATTGCAGGTGGGTGCCATACACCAACCAATAAATTAATACTTCATTTTTATTTTAAACATATTGGTTTTGTTATATAAAAGCATTAGTTTGATGTGAAAGTTTGAACTTGGTGTTTGATTAGGTGTGGAGCAATGACAGAGTGAAAGCTTGCCACCACAGAGTAAAGCATTGTGGAAACAAGACAAGATACTCAATTGGGCTCTTTACATTCAACAATGGCATTTTCCAAGTGCCAGAAGAATTAGTGGACGAAAGCCACCCACTCCTCTACAACCCATTTGATAGCCGTGCCTTTATTCGAAAATATGCTGCTACTCCAGAGCTCAAGAAGGAACCCTCTCCTATCAAGGCCTTTGCCGGTGTCAAAGCTTAATTTGCATGATTATGGTTATTGGTTATTATTATTTTTTTTTAGAGCAAGCTATATATTTCATTCAACTCAACAGCAAAACAACAATGTTGGCAACAATGTTCTTCTATATATGTATTTAATACAGAAAATTTAACTATGTTCTTCTACTTCTTCAACAACAATTGTATGAATAAGGCTGGAATGGCCACACCCTAGGTCAAGAACTGACTAATCAGTGTCTAATTTCACCAATTTTGTCGTTGCAAGGTCCTTGGAATAATAAAGACAATAGTCACCTGGCACCAGTCACCCCAATTAATTGTATCACCACCAACCACCAACTTACCACCATGACAAACTATCAACGTGAACAAAAAGTATCATCATCTACAACAATCAATATTGAAAGGCTTTTTATTATAAAGTGTTTCTAACGTTTGCGAAACTATCAGATTGCATCCTTAAAAATTTTTTTGTATCATGCATGGTCGCTAACGTTAATATAAGTGCTCTTAAATAGTCCTTTTGTCAAAAAAACTATTAAATCTAAAGATATAATCGTCAAATCAATCCAAGTTTATAAAATATATATATATATATATATATATATTTCCTTCCCTTCTCTCATTCTTTCTTCTTCTCCTTACTCTCTTTCTTGTCTTCTTCTTCTTTCTCTTCGCAGATTCCTTGAGGATGGTTATGAGACTCTCTCAAGTTTGCAGACAGAAAGTTGTGGTGTCTGTTCACTTCAATTCAACCCACCCTCAAGTCAATCTCTCTATCTCTCCCTCGCTCTGAAGTTCTTCCATGGCGGCTGGGCACTTCGCCGCCACAACCCCCAAACCCATCCGTCTCATCCAATCCTCATACCTCCTCGCAAAACCCAACCCAACTATCTTCGAATCTTCGCCACCAAAAATCAGCAATTCATTATAGGTCTCGAAGGAAGCTCTGTTTCACTATGTCGTCATGGAGGACCAAAAGCAGAGTACCCATCTTGAGAATTGCACAGAAAAAGCCCAAGAGGCTGCTGATTCTCAGAACCCAATTGTAATTTCGTCCGTACGTGTGGCTGAGAAGTTATCCAGGAAGAAATCGGAGAGGTTCTCTTATCTTGTTGCTGCGGTGATGTCCAGCTTTGGTATTACTTCCATGGCTGTCATGGCTGTTTATTACAGATTTTACTGGCAAATGGAGGTAACCAATTTCTCTCTGCTCCCTAAACCACAAAAGTTACGAACTTTATCTTCTCTGGTTGAGTTTTTGAATTGGGTGATTTTGTTTTCTGTGTAGGGTGGGAATGTGCCTTTGTCTGTAATGTTGGGTACATTTGCTCTATCTGTTGGTGCTGCTGTAAGTTCACTGACAACTTCTCAATTGGAGAAACTTAATTAAATTAAATTGATTTTGAAGTTTTTTTCTTTACACTGAAAACTACTAAATCGATTTGAATTTTATATATGTATATTTTAGGTGGGAATGGAGTTTTGGGCAAGATGGGCTCATAAAGCTCTCTGGCACGCTTATGGCATATGCACGAGGTTTGCTTCGAATTTTGCTACTTTTTGTTATCTCTTTGATGCCAACTCCTCAAAATTTTGTTTCTTTTCGTTCACTGGGAAACCAGCAATGAAAGAAACATGACAAGCTTGAGTTTTTATGTTGTTTTTCCATTTAGTTTTAGCAACCAATCAGTGTTTGATATTTGATATGAACTTTAATTGCAGTCTCACCACACAGACCCAGAGAAGGTCCATTCGAGCATAACGATGGACTGAAACAGAGAAAGAAGAGATAAGGAATCTGGTGGAGAGAAAGAAGCAGAAGAAAAAGAAAGAAAGAAAGAAGAAGAAGAAAGAAAGAGAGAAGGAAATGAAATAAATTTTTTATTTTTTTTATTTTATAATTTTGAATTAATTTGACGATTATATCCCTAGGTTTAACATATTTTTTGACAGAGGGATTATTTAAGAGCACCTATATTAACGTTAGGGACCATGCGCGATACAAAAAAAACTTTAAAGATGCAATATGATAGTATTGCAAACGTCATGGACGTTTTGTGATAAAAAGCCATATTGAAAATAGGTGGGTCTGGGACCCGACGGGAATTTTTGCCATCTGTAGGTGAGGACTGGGGAGGGGGCGGGGGTGGGTTCGTCAATGAAGTAGGTGGTTTCTGGGGATTTTGTTTTCCTAAAGTTATTTTTAAAATATCTTTCATTTTATTTTTAAGAGTAAAAATAATACAAATTTATAAATAAACCCAATCCTAGACATGTATTTATAAAAAAAAACCCAAGCATTATTTAAACATAGAAACACACCCAAAATCTACCCCAAAATCAACAATTGTATATTTTTTGGGTGTGTTTATAAATGGGTTTTGAGTGTGTGTAATGATGGGTTTTGGGTGTGTTTATAAAGTATTTTGGGTGTTTGGTTTTTTTATAATTTCAGCCCCCATTTTGGGTGTTTTAGTGAAACTCCCTAAAAATAAATGGTGAATCCAGTGGTCAAAAAATTGAATTTACAATCCTGATCCTTTATTTACAATCAACTAATAAAAATCAAAGTCGTAAATTAAACATGTTAACTTGGAAAGTCCAAGTAAACGACGCAGCAGGGTTTCCTGCTTCTTGCATTAATAGCCATTACTTCAAATCCAAACTTGACAAAACAACAAATCTGATTGTAAGAGGAGCTGGTAGAAAGGGACGGATCTAGAATTTCAAATTTGACTAGATTAAATTTAATTTACATATAAATATACTAAAGTAGATATAAAAAAATTCAAAAATATGATATAATTTCATTGATAACAACAAATAATAATACATCTAATCAAGGGGGAAAATAAACAATTTCTTCTACTCTTCTTTCTTTTTTTCCACTGGCTGTTCGTTCTTTTTTTATCTTTTTTTTTGGTGGGCTACGTTTGCTATTAGCCATCACTTGAAATCCAAATGCGTTTGTCATGTCTGTTAAGACGTCTTATCATCCATATTTTTGGTCACAGATGGATGGCATTTGAATAAGCACCCTTCTTATCCTCTTTACCCCAAAGTCGCCATACCCTCATAAACTTGCCAAGTGATTAAATGTACCAGCATGCCACTATCAGCTGTGGAAAAGAGGCTAATATACTAAATAAATTTATAATGGATTGTGAGTTAAGAAACTAATTTCTAATCAAACTACTGTACATCGAGTGGGAAACAAACTCGATATTAGTTTCTTTGAGTTGCATTGGGTTTTGGTTTAGCCAGTGCGACACTGTGGTGCTATGGCTCTCTTCGAGTTGCCCAATAGGATGTGGAGTAGTGGTCATGCTTTTTAGTTTGTTTAAGTCTAATAATTTTCAGGAAATCTTTAAGAGTTTGTTGTGATTTGTCTTATCTTTAGGTTATTTTATTTCTATTTAGCTTTGGTTTTCAATACGTTGTGCGACATATCTATACTGCAGGTTTGAGTACATGTGCTTCTAGTTGCTTAATTGGAGATTTAGTCATCTTTAGATCAATTCAACATGTTGTTGTGTTTTGGTCACTGAAGATGATTTACCCATATTTGGCACATCGTTGCTTTCTACTTTCGTTTGTTTATTAATAAAAAAAACTATCGTTTATTCAAAAATAAAAAATAAAAAATGTGGTGCTATTTATAGGCTTCTAGGACCACCGCTAAATTAATAGGATTGGAAAAACCAAAAGCCAAAAGACTCAAAAAAAAATTAATGAACAAGTACAAATTATAAGAAATGAAAAGTGTCGACACACCATAATTTCTCACTAAAATAATAATAATACACTCTTAACAACTTGACATTCATGGCCTGTTTCTGTTTATCGTTACTATCCGTTTCAGTTTACTCTCTTGGTTGCCACGTTTTGTGGCTTAACATCTCTCTCTCTCCTTCTGTCTTTCATACTACTTTACCATAAGTTTCTAACTGAAAATGGCTTCATTCAGTTATACCACCTTACACAAGGACGGTAAATGGCCAGATTAACAGGCTGTCCTTACTATCATCCAATCATGTTTCGCCACCTCTTAAAAATAATTTTGAACTTCTTCCAGTTAGAGACGTATATAATTTAAGAAATTCTGAAAATTATTACCAAGCATTTTTTTTAGCTGCATTCATCTCAACCTCTCCTTCCAGGATTTCATGGGTCACAGGGAGGAGGTAAGGCCCAAGAACTTCAAGTTTTGAATAGATATTTGATATTAATCCTCTTCGTTTCGATGTTCTTGATGCATGAATTGCTTTCCTCCATGTTGAAGAGAGAGATTATTTTCCTCTTGTTCATAGTTCATGCATTCTTCTTTAAATTACGCTTTGTTCTGATTGCTTTTTTATCTTTCCTGTTTTTATTTGCCCATGCAGATTAATGAGATTCTGTTTCTTCATATTTTCTCAATTTTATTATTGAACTTTATGAAGAACAAGAATTTATTATTTCAAAGTTCTGTAAAAATTTCCTTATCGAAATCGAAGCTCTATTTGATTTTGATTCGGACATTCTTCTCGTAGCAAAACCCGGAAAATTAATATGTAAACTTGTTTAAAATTTCGCTAAGAAATCTTTCAAAAGTGAAAAAACCTTTCAAGAGTTTTGGCTAAGTAATTATCTCATCACTTGGTATTCCATTATTGTGATGCAGTTCTTATATCTTGTTCGTTCTCATGTTTCTTCATTCGTTTTCACAAAGCTGTGTTTTACTGGTTGGTGTTTCATGGTAAAATGAATTGAAGCTTGTTACCCTTCTCTCATTTGTACTTGGGATTAAACAAAAGGCTACATTAAAAATATATATATGAGTAAGTGAAACCACAAAGTATGAGAACGAAGCTCCTTTGTGCTTCCAATCCTGTATGTATTATATTTTCCTTGTAACCACAAATTATGTATGTTGTGTCCTTAGAACACAGCTTATTTGGTCTGTTAATTGTTAACGAATACAAGCTCAAGATGTCATCCCCAGCATGATAATATCTTACTTATCTCTGTACTGGGTTACTATTCCGGCTATACGTACGTATGTACAACAGTCGTTTTCGGATGGCAATGTGTGAATGCGAACAAAATGTAGTTTTTCGACATCGAAGCGTTCCGAGATGTATATTGAACACTAGGTTTTCTGCATTTTGCAGAAAAATGCTCGGAGGTCTGTTCCTCAATTCGGAGGATGGGATCAAAATGGCCCAGATCCTGCAAACTACACCGTGGTGTTCACCCAAGCTCGTGCTAACAGGAAGCAAAACAAGACAGACTTGACTGAGTTCAAGCGCAACAGCCTGGGGAATGAACAGGAATTCTTGGCTGCTCATTCTCAACATGGACATCATCAACAAGACGATTCTGTTATGGTAAGACACTACTTTTCCCATCCTTACTTCTGCTAATTAAGTAACATAGGTTAAGAACCCGTTTGGGAGTCCTTCTGTAGGAAGCACTTCTGCTTATAAACGCGTTTTCAAAAAGTGCCTCATTTAAAAAACGCCAAATTTTTTTTTCAAAATCAAAATGCTTCATGTAAAAGCACTAGAAAGTGATTCCTGAACAAGCACATGTTATGTATATGCTTCTCCAGAAACCGCTCTTTCAAAACAAAACCAAAAGGAAAAATAAGATGAAAGCACAATTCTACCATATAAGCTTTCTTTCTAATTTTATTCACATTTATTTTCATGCAGAGGAAAAAGACGATTCTGACCTACATAAATTGCTGTATTAGGCCTTGATTTCCTAAGAAGGGGAGTAATTTATCCATTCCTGTCCTTCGTAATCTATTATCGACATGTAATCTTATAGACAAGACTCGTTCATCAATCTTTGAGTGAGCAATATACATTCTATTTTAGTCTATACTGTTGGATTTGTTTGTACTTATTCATTGTGAACAAAGTAAAATAGATAAGAGAGAATAGAAACCATATCATACAATGACGGGATAATTTCCTAAGCTTCTTTTAAGGGAGTCAAATCATGATTGACGCTCTGTGCACCCAAAAAATTCCAGATGTGATGCTGGAGGGCATCTTTCATGATATTTCTGGGCTTGTGAAGGATTTCTGCAGTGTCTCTTTTTCATGTACCGCGATGTTGTAATATGGCAGCTCATGATTTTGCTGGTTTTGCAGCAAAAGTTGGTGGCGCTTATGTTTGGCATGGGTGGCCACCGTTTTGGCTTTCTCCAACATTAGCAACTGATGTAAACTTACCCTTATGTTAAATGCAAGATACCTATTGTTTGACGGAGAAAAAAATAATAATATATATATATATAGTGCAGGTGTGAGTTAGGCATGTTGGCCAGGGGCGGGAACTCCTTAGACCTAAGTTGTATAATCCATATTCAAATACAAAACTGAAGTTGAGGTCCCGTTTGGGATTTCTTTTTTTGCTAAAAACCCATTTCACTTTAAAGTTAAGCAGTTTAAGGTGTTTGGTAAAAATAAAATATCTCGATTATTTTAAAAACAGTGGCCTTTTGATAGCAATTTTTAAAAACAGGCTCAAGGTTACTTTTCAAAGTTGCTTTCAAAAGAAGTAAAGATAAGCTTATAATAAAATTTTTAAATTCCCAAAATACCCTCATTCATTTTTAAAAATGACACCACCTCCAACTCCACATCCACCTCCACCACCACCGCCACCATCGCCACCATCACCACATCCCCCTCCGCCACCATTACCACCACCACCTCCTCCACCACTAACACCCACCTCCTCCACAACCACCACCACCTCCTCCACCACTAACACCCACCTCCTTCACAACCGCCACCACCACTACCACAGCCATCACCTCCACCTTCATCACCACAACTACCACCTCCACCACCACTGCCACCATCACCACCACCACCACAACCACCACCTCCTCCTCCTCCATCTCCACACCTCCACCTCCACCTCCACCTTCACAACCTCCATCCCCACAACCACCTCCTCCACAACCACCACCACCACCACCACAACCACCACCACCACCTTCACCATCTCCACCACCGCCACCACCACCATCACCATCACCACCACAACACCGCCACCACCATCACCATCACCACCACCTCCTCCTCCTCCATCTCCACCGCCTCCACCTCCACAACCTCCATCCCCACCACCACCACTACCACAACCACAACCACCACCTTCACCACCACCTCTTTCACCACCATTTTCACCTCCCATCTTTTTCACCACCTCCACTACCACCATATAATTAGCACATTCAACATCATATCTATTTGAGTCATTATTCACAATTGCAACATTTTATATTAAAATTTACCAAACGGTTTTGATACTACTTTTTGTATTAGCAGCACTTTAAATGAATTATTTACCGAACATGGAGCTGCTTTATTTTACAACTAATTATTTTTAAAACACAGCAAAAACAACTCTTTTGTTTTTTTTTAATGTGACAGCAATCCCAAACTAGCCCTAAATTGCACACAAGATTTGTTATGTGTAAAATCTTCCCAAGGAAAAACCACGAGACCTGGACCAATAAGAATCAATACACTGGTTAGAAAGCAATATATAAGAGAATATTTCTACTTATCTCACTAGATTCGAGGAGGCAGCCAAACCCTATGCTCCTTTTCTACTACTTCAACCACGCAAACTTCATGAACTATCATCTCTTCCAAAACCAGCACAGAACTCTATGAGTTTGTCAATCGCCTTGAAACATGAACTCACCTAGACTTGTCTTATTGAGAAGGCACATGTCACAACCTCAAATGTAGAAGGATGATGGATGTGACAGCTTCAGTAGATTTCACATGGAACAATCTACTGAACTTGAATGATATGCACCATGAACTACTCAAAGATGTATGCAGAAAAACCTAGAAGTTCATGGAGGAAAAATCACTCAAAAAGCTACGGATTCACAAACCCTTTTTTCGTGTGTTCACAATGGGAAAGACTTGGAAAAACAGGTTTTGTACTATAAAGCCCAGACTTAAAATCCAATCCAATGTACATTTAGAAATATGCATTAATTTAAGAATGAACATGTAGACATGCATAATGCATCTAAATAACTACTGAATATGAAAGAGCCTCTAAGTCTTACCTTTCCTAAGGATAAGTAATGACTTAGAAACCTCAATGTAGCTTTGACTTCAACTTCGAGCTTTAACCTTCAAACCTTGAATTCCTGAACTTTGGCTGCTTATTTGTTCTTGGCATGCTGAATCATCAGTGGATTGAAGACTTTCAGTATCCATGTTGTCAATTAGAGAGTTCAGTGCCTAAGTAGCTCAATATATGGAACATCATCTCATCTCGTTCATTTACAGAATCTTCCCTTAAAATCCCTTCCTCATTATATAAACATGACCTCAACCAGGCTTTGATCCCAAAACTGATAAAGAGCAAAGAGGAATAGTATGTAGAAAGGCTCCTCTTTGTTTAAATTAGGTATTCTCATTGCTGTAAGACCGTGGTAAGTGAGATCCATACGGATTTTATGAAACGAGAAGCGAAAATTGTAAAAAAAGAAGATATAAATGACAATTTAGAGTCTTTCTGAAAAGTGTGTCCCTATTCATCGAGAATTGCCCATTATATGGACAGAATACAAGTTAATTAGGATAGAACACAGGCTGATATTCAGCCCCTGAAAACAGCTCACCTACCACATATACATGTATCTAATTATAGCTAACCTACCACATATACATGTATCTAATTAATGAAAGAATCTGCTGGCATTTAAATCTGATTTCCTTTGACATCCCTCCCAAATTGATGCTGGTAAATTGACAAGCATCAATTTGCTAACGAGGAAATGATGGCGCTGACATGGCATGGATTTGGTGAAGATATCGGCGATCTGCAGAGTAGTAGAGACATGTGGAAGGGTGATAACCTGATGATCATAGGCTTCTCTGATTGAGTGACAATCAACTTCGATGTGCTTGGTGCGTTCGTGATAGACAGGGTTGGCAGCAATTTGGATGGCACTAGTGTTGTCAACATGCAGTGGAGTAGGTTGAATAGGACCGAAACCAAGTTCTATGAGGAGACCACGCAACCAAATGATCTCGGAGCATGCATCAGACATGGCTCTGTACTCTGCCTCAGTGGATGATTTGGAGACGTGGTCTTGCTTCTTGCATTTCCAAGAGATAAGGGCATCACCAAGAAACATATACCAGCCAGTAGTAGATTTCCTGGTGTCTGGGCAACCGGCCCAATCAGCGTCACTGTAGGTTTGGAGCTGAAGGGAAGAACCTGTAGAGAAGAATAAACCATGACTAGGTGTGCCAAGAATTTAGCGAATGATGCGGCGAACGACAGATAGATGGAGATGCATTGGGGCTTGCATGAACTTGCTGACAGTGTGAACAGCATAAGAGATGTCTGGTCGGGTGATGGTTAGATAGATAAGACTACCAACCAGCTTCCGATAGGTAGTAGGATCCTCAAGAAGCTCCCCGTCGTCACGTCGATATTTCACATTAAGTTCCATGGGGGTGTCAACTGAAGTAGTGTTGGTGAGGCCGGCTAACTGAACCAGATCTTGACTGTACTTGTGCTGATGCAAGAAGAGACCATGAGGCCGATGATGCACCTCTAAACCCAAGAAATAAGTGAGCTGACCAAGATCTTTCATGTGGAATGTAGAATGCAACAAAGTTTGAACCGCTGAGATTGCCTCCAAGTCAGAGCCGGTGATGACAATATCATCCACATAAACAAGGAGGACAACGATACCTATGGATGTCCGTTGTAGAAAAAAAGAGGAGTCATACTGACTTTGAGTGAAAGAAAAACCAAGCAAAGTGGAGCGAAACTTTTGAAACCATACTCTCGGTGCCTGCTTCAAACCATACAAAGAACATTTTAGTTTGCAAACATCATTAGGTGAGGAAGTAGGCATACCATAGGGAAGTTTCAAGTAAACTTCTTCCTTGAGATCACCGTGGAGGAATGCGTTCTTGACATCCATTTGATGTAAGGGCCAGGATTGGGATGCAGCAAGAGCGAGTATAGTTCGGACAGTGGTCATTTTGGCGACTGGTGCGAAGGTCTCATCATAGTCGAGACCATATTCCTGTTTGTTGCCAAGTGCCACTAACCGAGCCTTATAACGGTCTATGGACCCATCAGAACGAAGCTTGACAGAAAACACGAACTTACTGCCAAGGGGTTTCACGGATGAGGGACATGGAACAACGTCCCAAGTTTGGTTTTCCTCAAGGGGGAGAAGTTCGGCTTCAACAGCTTTCTGCCAACACTCGTGCTTCATGGCCTGTTTATAAGATGAAGGAAGAGAAATAGAAGACAAGGTGGCTGTGAAGGATGAAGGAGAAGAGGAACCAAACCTATTCGGGGGTCTACGAACCCGAGTACTGTGTCTGAGAGGGGGAGGTGCAGTTGCTGGAACAAGAGCAGCAGGAGGGGAAGGATCTTGAGGGGGCTTGGGAGGTGCCGAAGGCTGGTGGGAAGTGGCGGAGGAGCGTCTTTGATACACTAAGAGAGGCTTAGAAGGGACCGGAGCTGCAGAAGAGGTATTAACAACTGGAGCTGCAAAAGAGTTAGTAAACATAGGCAAAATAGAAAATAAGGGAGAAACGGGATCCGAATGTGTGGGAAAAAAAATACTGATTTTCTAGAAAGATCACATTTCTAGAAACTCGAATGCGGTGCAAATTTGGATCATAGCAAAGAAAACCTTTCTGGTGTACTGAATATCCTAGGAAAGCACACTGAATCGATTGAGCCGTGAGTTTTGTGCGTTCATGTGCAAGAAGATGAACATAACAAACACAACCAAAGGTACAAAGGTTGGAATAAATTGGAGGGTGACCAAATAACCTGGTGAAGGGAGAGTTGTGGTTCAATGTGGGAGAAGGCAACCTGTTGATGAGATGGACAACAGTGGATAGAGCTTCACACCAAAAACAAGAGGGCGTAGATGACTCTAACAAGAGAGTGCGAACAACATCAAGGAGGTGACGGTTCTTCCTTTCAGCCACACCATTTTGTTGAGGTGTTGAAGGACAAGACCGTTGAGAGATAATGACGTGAGTCTGTAGGAAGTCCTAAAACAAATGAGACATATACTCACCCCCATTGTCAGAACGAAGGATTTTGATTTGGGCCGTGTCTGAATATATGCATGAAAAATCTTTAAAATAGAAAAGACTTCATCTTTAGAATGTAGAAAATATATCCATGTGAAACGACTATAGTCGTCAATAAAAGTGACAAAGTATTTGTAATTAGCATGAGAAGTGATTGGTACCATGCCCCACACATCACTATGTATCATATCAAAAGGTTGAACTATATGTGGTGTGTGAATAGGAAAAGGCAGAGTCTTACTTTTGCCAAGTTTGCAAGAATTGAAATCAAATTGAACAGCACTAAGAGATGGTGATTCTTTATTCCCAAGAAAACCAGATTTCAGTAAATCATGAAGGACATTAGAATTTGGATGTCCAAGACGTTTATGCCATGTCGGTAATCAGCATGAGCAGAATTACAGGAGACAAAGGGTAAAAAAGAAGACAAAGGAAATTGAAGAGGAAAAAGACGTCCCACTTTAGGCCCCCTCGCGATCATCCTCCTTGACTGTTGATCCTGCACAACACAACCAGATTTAGAGAATTCCACTTTGCAATCATTATCAACCAACTGACCGACAGACACAAGATTGGTGGTAAGACCAGGAGATACAAAGACATCAGTGAGAGAGGGAGAAACATCACCAGTGGCCATGATAGGTAAATGATTGCCATCAGCAGTAGATTTCCAAAATATTTGTTTACATTGGTAAGAGAATCAGCATGTTTGTCATATGATGGGAAGCCCCAGAATCAAAGTACCAAGGAGATGATGTAGAGAAGGGTTTACCTGAGAGTCCTAAAGCTGAAAATGCAAAAATGATCATTTGTTGAATCATGTCAGGGGTCACAGGTTGAACAGGAGCATGAGCACTTTGTGTCAGCGGTACTGTAGTCACAGAACTTCCAGCACTAGAAGAGCCAACGGAGACAGTATATGCAGTCTCTGATTTCTTGGGGGGTCGAGTAGGACATTCCTTGATGATATGGCCATCCTTTTTGCAGTAGTTGCAGAATTTTCGGGGACAATTTGCAGCATAATGACCAAATCCCTTGCAACAAAAACACTAAACATTGCTCATATCCCTGCCTCATGGCTTACCTTGTGCTACATAGGCCACAGGAACAGATGCAGATCTCCGTTGTTCCATGGTGGTTTGAGTGAGAAGGCGTTGTTCCTCACGAAGGAGATCATTGAGGCATGTATCCAAGGAGGGGACAGATTCCCGGTTCATAAGATTGGATCTGGTGCCTTCAAATTCAGGTCTCAATTTCATCAGAAATTGATCCCTCTGGGTAGTTTCATGGATAGATTGAACAGAACTAAGACCTTCGAATGGTAAGTCAGCATAAACTATATCAGTGTATTCAGCCCAAAGATTAGTGACTCTAGAGTAAAAATCAGAGATAGAAAGGCCATCCTGTTGGAAAGCGGCCAATTCATGTTCAAGCTGGAACCGACGAGCAGTGTTTCGTTGACTATAGATCTTCTTTAGGTAAGTCCACATCTGAGCTGCAGTCTGAGATGATCGAAGGTTCAAGATGATATTAGGTTCGACAGATCCTAAAATCCATGTCATAACTTGAGCGTCCTTGACTTCCCACTTGGCGTGCTGGTCTTTGTCTTTGTTTTTGTCAGGATTTGGGTTACTTCCATCAACATGTCCCCACGCCTCCTTACCTTTGACGAAAATCCCGAAGTGAAACGCCCAAGCAGAGTAGTTCTTGCCATTGAAACGAATCAAAGAAACATCTGACTTATCTGAAGACATGATGTCAAGAGAACTTGATCAAGAATAACTGAGACTAAGGAACTTGAGAGCAAGAGATAATTCAGAGCTATAGCTCTGATACCATGACAATTTAGAGTCTTCCTGAAAAGTGTGTCCCTATTCATCGAGAATTGCCCATTATATGGACAGAATACAAGTTAATTAGGAAAGAACACAGGCTGATATTCAGCCCCTGAAAACAGCTCACCTACCACATATACATGTATGTAATTATAGCTAACCTACCACATATACATGTATCTAATACATGTATCTAATTATAGCTAACCTACCAAATATACAAGTATCTAATTAATGAAAGAATCTGCTGGCATTTAAATCTGATTTCCTTTGACAATAAACCACTAGCAGCATCACAGCAATAAGGTTCTTGGAATCACTCCTAGAGGCCTTGCAACCAGTGTTTTCAAAGGCATGCCTTCGCGCGCATCGGCGCGAGGTAGGAGGAAAACGCCCGAGGCGTCCGGCTGTTTCCCGATCTGCACGTTTAGCACCGGGAAGGCGTGAGGAGGCGTTGCAAGGCGTGTCCAGGCAGAGCGAGGCGTGAGGAGGAGTTGCAGATCTGGAATCTTCTGAAACGGAAGAAATTGAAAGTCTGCAAATTTTCTTTGAGGAAGATGAACTCGGGAGGAAGACGACTTTTTTTTTTTTTTTTTTTTTTTTTTTTTAATGAAACGAAACATCGTTTTGGTTTTAGAGTTTTAAAAACAATCTTATAGTGAAACGACGTCGTTTCACTTGGAGTGGGTTTTTAAAAAAAAAAAATGCAAGTTTCAGTTTTTTGTTTTCCTTACCTTAATTGTAATAGGGAAGAATTAATATATTTAATATCTTTCTTTTCTTTCCTAACTCCAACCGGCTGTAGCTTTGTACCTTTTTTTTTTTTTTTTTTTTTTTTTTTTTTTTTTTTTTCTAAATATAATAACACATGGACTATATATATATATATATATTGTATAGTACGTGTATAACCCTAATTTCTATCCTTACCAGATAACTCCATCAATTTCAAGAATTCTCTTCATCTTTCGATTGCAAGTAAGTCTTCTTTTTTTTCTTTTCTTTTTTTTACGTACATGCATCATACTTGTATAATTTGACTGTAATAAACTATAATTTGAAGTTTCGTATAATTTTTTTTCAATATGTTTTAATATATATTATTTTTTTTTTTTTTTCTTACATGCATCACACTTGTATCTTAGAAATATTAATTGTATTGTTTTATAGATATGAATCGAAAAGATCCTGCGTGGAAGTATCCAAAAGAAATAGAGGGGGAAAAATACTTGAGATGCGCATTTTGTGATCAAAGATGCAGTGGAGGAATTTCTAGACTTAAGCATCATTTAGGTCAAACTCATCACGGTATGCAACCATGTAAGAAAGTTCCTGAGCATGTGAAAAAAGAGTGTGCCGCAACTTTGAAAAATCTTCAGCTTGAAAAAAGAAAGAAAAATGAAAGGCTTAGAGAGATTGGGGATGGTCTAGAAGGAGGGGCTCTGAGTATGGAAACTTCATTGGATGAAGAATATGGAATCCCTGGTACTAGGAGTGCTGCAGTTGATGAGACTCTTAGAGCACAACCTAAATCAAAAGGACCAATGGATAGATTTGTCACTTTAGAAGCTCGGCAAAGTACATTAAATTCAGCATACAAACAAGAAGAAAGAAAGGAAGTTTGTCGAAAGATTGGTCGTTTTTTCTTCTCTAGAGCACTCCCATTTAATATTGTAAATGATCCATTTTGGCTACCTATGGTGGAAGGGATTGCCGCATATGGTGTAGGATTTAAGCCTCCATCAATGCATGAGCTGAGGACTTGGATCCTTAAGGAAGAAGTTGGCGACATTAATACGATGATGGAAGAACATAAGAAAGCTTGGGCAGAGTATGGATGTACTATTATGTCTGATGGTTGGACTGATGGTAAAAATAGAGTACTAATAAACTTTCTTGTGAATAGTCCAGCAGGTACTTGGTTTTTGAAATCTATTGATACATCTGATTCCATAAAAAATGGAACGTTATTGTTCAAATATTTAGATGATGTTGTCAAAGAAGTTGGAGAGGAGCATGTCATTCAAGTAATAACAGATAATGCTTCCAATTATAAGAATGCTGGAGTGAAACTTATGGAGAAGAGGAAGAAGTTATGGTGGACTCCATGTGCTGCCCATTGCATTGATTTGATGTTAGAAGATATTAGCAAAATGAAAGTTTTTGAAGATACAATTAGACTAGCCAAGCAAGTAGTGAAGTTTATTTATGGGCATACATGGGTTCTTGCTTTGATGAGATCTTTCACGAAAAACAAAGAGATAATTCGCCCTACAATCACACGGTTTGCCACTTCTTATCTTACTCTTCAAAGCATCTATAAGCAAAAGCAACCTCTTCAGGCAATGTTTTCTTCTAGAGAATGGCACAATGGACTATTTGTCCAACATATGAAGGTATTAGGGCTCACTCAACTATACTATATGATGTTAATTTTTGGTCCCGTGTTGCTTTCTGCATCAAAAGTGTTATTCCATTAGTATTGGTTTTAAGAGAAGTTGATTCAGAGGAGAGACCTGCTATGGGATTTATTTATGAGTTAATGGATGTTGCAAAAGAGAAGATTGATTTTAATTGTGGAAAAGTTGAAAGAAAGTATAAACCAATTTGGAGAAAAATAGATGAAAGATGGGGCCCACAACTCCATCAACCTTTACATGCTGCTGGTTATTATTTGAACCCTCAATTGCGTTATGAAGAAACCTTTTCTAATGCTGATGAAGTGAGGAAGGGATTGGAAGATTGCATGTCTAGGATGTTGTCTTTTGAGGATCGTATGACTGCTGATATCCAGTTGGACTTGTATGATGAGGCAAAAGGAAAGTTTGGAAGTCGTCTTGCAGTGAATTCAAGGAAACTACGAACTCCAGGTTATAATCTTTACTTTTTCATTTTCATTCGAGTATAATGAACACTTGAAATAAATGTTAAACTTAATTAGATGGATTTGTTTTGTTTTTTTTAGCAAATTGGTGGAAGCGTTTTGGAAGGGACACACCTGAGTTGACAAAGTTTGTTATTCGAGTCCTTAGCCTTACTTGTAGTGCATCTGGGTGTGAGAGGAATTGGAGCACATTTGAGCAGGTAAAGTTCTTTTGTTAATTTATTGTTCAAATTTTGATGCTTCTAAATCTAATTTTGTATGTTTATTTTTATTTTAGATTCATACAAAGAAAAGAAATAGACTTGAACATCAAAAGCTCAATGCTCTAGTATATGTGAAGTATAATACGGCACTAAGAGAGAGAAGTATTAGAAGGAGGTCAAAGATTGATCCAATATTGGTGAATGAAATTGAGTCCGATGATGAATGGATAGCTGAGGTTGAAGAACCAATTCTACCAACTGATCTTATTTGGCTTAATTCTCAAGAATTATATGATGTTGATGTCATCAGAAATATGCCCACTGAACCTTATGAAACTTATCTACATACTCGAGTGCCTATTTCTGTGGAGCCTATTGGTGATCCTAGGACTCAAGAGCAAGGGAATATTCATGTTAGGACTCAAGAGCCTATTGTTCATTCTAGAACTCAAGATCCTATTATTGATGATGATCTTATTCTTGACGATGATGTTCTTCTTTCCTCGTTAGCTTCAAAAAAGAGAAAAGAATGTGAAACCTCAAGTAAGTATGGAAAGTAAATCATGGAGTGAAAGTTACAATTAGTGTTTAATTCATTACCACTAAATTTTATAATTTTAATTCATTGTTCATATGTACAGGTAAGAGGAAAGTCAAAAGCAAGTCCATAAGAGCTATGCTTATGGATGAAGATGATGAGATAGATAAAGATCCTTCAACATTTGATAGTGGGAAATATCCTTTTCATATTGATACAGTTGATCAATATGACAGTGATGCTAGTTTGAATGATATTAGTGTTGAGGAGTGGGATGAGTGAATTATGTTTTTGTTTTGATATTGAATAAATATTTTATGTTTTGGGATTGATTATTATGTTTTGAATGACAATTAGTACTTATATTTGATTATATTTAAAAGATTGTTATAGTTGAATAAGAATTAATTGTACAATTTAATCGTATTGTATTATTCATAAATTTTTCTTATTAAAATAACTTAATGTTCAAAAAGCTTACGTCTCAATGCCTCAAGGCTTACGCCTCGCATAGCGCTACTAAAAACGCCTCGCCTATACGCCTCGCCTATGAAAACATTGCTTGCAACACACCTAAGATTAGGTTGCATCACACAAACCTAGAGAAGCAAAACTGCTGCATCTTTATTCAATTGTCCAAAATCTTAACTGAACGATTACAACAATGTAACTTAAGAGAAACCCTAGTTAAAAAAAGTTGTGAAATGCCCATAACTTTTTGTTTGCGATAAAAGTACAGCACAGGGGACAAGATGTACCCAAGACTTCAGCCAACTAAACAATCAACAAACCGAAGCCAACGGAAACAAAACTAATTAGCAACAGCCTCCCAAAAGGACCAGTCCTCAAAAATCTAAAGAAACTGAAGCCCACAAGGATGCCCAGAAGCAAACTCTCTGTAATCTTCATTGCTGCCGCGTACGTTATGTCATCTATCTCAAGTATTATAACCTTTTGTTCAATTATAAAATCTCTACTTAAGTGTTTGTAACTGACTCTTACACTCCTGTCTGACTCTCTTTCTCCCATCTCCTTCAAGACCTCTCACCACCGTTAGACATGATTTGATTCAAGGCCTCATAAAAAATAAATAACAAATTGATATCAAAGGCCAAATAACAGCTGTAAACACGAATGTGGTGGCAGCAGTGTAACATGGTTCAACCAGTCATGGAAAATGTGTCTTTCTCAATCGTACATTATGGATCCAAAGAATAAACAATGACAAGAACAGAAATATACTTCAGTTTCTTTGCAGGCAGACAATGTTTACCAAGAAAACTTCATCTTCTTTTTTTCTCAAGAAATACCCCTAACTTAAATGACGTCAAAGACTCTAGTAGCAATTATCAATTGAACTTGGCGAGGCCCAACAAAATCCAAAGTACGCTCATCATCATCTAATGTATTTCAAATTCAGGATCTGATATTCGAACTCTCTTTGCTACAGCTCTGATAAACTTTTAAGGCTGCTTCCTCTTATATTCCTCATTGTGAAGATTTGAGGTCCTTCAGAGGAGGTCTTCTGTATGGTCCTTGGAAGTTTGTTCTTTAAAGACTTCAACTTCCATGGTAAGGGCTTTGCCCAAATATAATTAAGGCCCAACTAGACAACCCATATCAACAAAAAAGCTCAGGGCCCTCTTTTTTCCAATCCAATTCCTCCACCACCACAAACCCCAGTTAGATTCAGTCATGATATACTGTTTAGTTATTGGAAGAACCCAAGTACTCTCTTTCGGATCCAGGAAACAGCTCTCAGACATCCCTTTTCCTTTTCGACATGAAAGAATACCAATGATAGCTAAAGATGCAATCACTTGATGGATCAAAAAAGTGGGAAAGATGCAGTAGGCTAATAATGGGGCCGTTGGTTAAACTCCATATTATGAAACAATGCTAAGAAATGTGAGCTTACATTTCGTGCTTCTCTCAGAACCAGTGATTTTAGGAAGAAAGCACTGTAAAGAAAATGGAAACCAGTGTCAAATCAGAGGGAGAGAGAACGGTGGTGGCAAGTGATGGCTGAAAAGAGAGACTGAGAAAGGTGGCGTGATGGGCAGCTGCATTGGGTCTTAGTAGCACAATGCCATGAAATCAAGTTGGAAATAAAAGTCAGAAGAATAAGATCATGGTATTGTGTTCCTGGTCAATAGAGTGCATACACATTTATATTAGAAAACCAACAAATCACTTTTCCTAGTATTATGCTCTACGAAGAACCAGCCTCAAATGAAGCCAATACAATGAGCCTTCAATTAAGACAATCCAACACTAATATTAAACAAATGTAACACATCGTCAACGGCCTATATCATTAACAAAGTAAGTTACAACACAAGTGAAGTTGGTTAATATAAACTTATCCATTCAAATAAATTACCATCTGCAAACTGCAACGAGAATATTATTTATTGACTTTAAAGTGAATTCACATACATGTTACAACAAAAATAGAAACTTTGATCTTATTATTCAAACTATTGCCATATATACAGGAGCATCATGTCCATTTACACCTCAAGTTTAAATAATAATAGTCAAAAAGGAAAGAAGTACCTGAGCTTTTTAAGTGGTGTCTCTAAAACGCTTTACAGGGGCTTTAAGAGAAGATAGATACTTTGCATCTGCCTTGCCAATTCCATTGAAAAGATAACTGAAAGGTCGCATTTCTACGTACTTGCCAGAACCAGGAAAAACCTTCAACTCATCATTTAACCAAACAACCCTTCCACCAGAAATGGTCACTTCAACCTTTCCCTGCGAAAATAGAACATTGTCACTTCAACCTTTCCCATAAAAAATGTAATATGAACTTTTAATGTCTGGCATGCCATAAAAATGCCACATGAATGCATGCACAGTATTACACAGGCTTTGTACAAGCTCAATCCACACACACACGTATAAGAATGAAACTTTATGAATGCAAGTATATTTTGTTGTGTATGTACAAACTGGAGAGAAGTTTGAGGGGAAAATACCACACACGGGGGCAAAGAATTAGAAGGATGATACAGGGAAGCATATAACTACAATAAAAAAGATATAACAATCCACAATCTTCCTTGGAACCTGTTGATTTTCCCATGAAAATACTGTGAATAGAACTTAAAAACCGTGAATCACATAATCACACCAAGAACACACGAGATTTATCATGGCTCACCGAATTCGTGCTACATCCACGTCGGTTTTCACTATGTAATGAGTGTTATATTTACATTGAGGCATGAGAGCCTTTTGAGAGAGTGAATCGAAGAGAGTTGCGATGAGAGGGTGAGGATGGCCATTATATATGGAAGATAATGGGCTCTCCCCTTTTGGACTTCCTCAAGGAATAAAGTGAGGTCAAAACTATGGTACCAACCTTGTTGATTCACCAATAAAATACCAAGAATAATGGTAGCAGAAAAGAACAAAATTCTATAGAGCAACCAAATCTATCTTCAGAACACCATTTAAATACACTAGACATCCTTTTTTGAGAAAAAGGGGCATAAATAAGCAAAAAATCCTTAGGAAGTGTCTATTCCTGCTACATCAAAATGTTGCATTTGAAAAGACCAACGTTCTTAATATTCAATATCTTTTTGAAATGGTTGTTATTTGCAGTGAGAATAAAATAGAAGACAAAAAGAGAAGTAGGATATCATGGTCATGTCCAATTATATAATGCATTCAAATGAAAAATAAAAGTGCATTAATGCCACCGATAATTCTTATATGCCTCAAATCGACTGAAAATTAGAAATATAAACAGAATAAACATGTGCTGCTTTGCATAAGTTAACCAGCCAATTCTTGAAATTAACATTGTGTTCTCTTCTTATTTTGATGAATATGAGGCTGTCTAAATTTTGGCTAAGAACAGCCTAACTATACTAACTACTAAGTCAAGCAGCTTAGGTGTAATGTAAATCTGAAAGGAGTGAATTGGATTGGAGCTTTTAGTGTAAATTTTTTAATTTAACTTCAGAAAAAAAATATATTAATTCGATATGTTAATAAATCCACATATACATTTCATTATTCAAACATAAATAATAAATAAATAAAAGAGGGATTTGAACTTTGACATATTAACTATTATCTAAATAGATAATTTTCTTCAATAAATCATGTTCTCCAATATATTATGATTAACATGTAGATTTTGAAAGCTATAATTGCACTTTAGTGTCAGGAATTTTATACGAGATGTCAAACTCCTACAGCAATTGTTTTACTTATTTTGACCCAACATTATTCCTTTATGGCACTTCAAAATTTTAATAATGCTCTTTCTAATCTACCTACATGAATCTTTTTATTGAAGGAGAACTTATGTTAAAAAATAGTTTTTTGGCTACTAAAAGGAAGTATTAAATTAAAATCCACAATCCCAGATAAAACTAATTCCAAAATGACCAATTCTAATTTTAAAGGCCATTTAGGCTGCTAGATACAGAATCAGTTCAATATCAAATTCGTTGTATCACATATGGGTTTGACATCAAACAATTTGTTTCAAATTACATTTAATAGTATCCATTATCTGGGAATGCATATAATACACACACATACAATATATGTCATTTCAGACACCTCATCTCTTTTTCTTTTTTTTTCTCAGATCAGATACCACAAATCCAAGTCAACACTTGACACACGTATCCATGTCAGTGTATCATAGCCACCAAGGTCTCCCCAAAGAGGGAGCAGTAGCTTCCTAATTCTAAAGTAAGAACATACTATCTTATGGAAAAATAAAATCCTTTGTGTGACAAATATTACCTTCCCTCTCCATCCCTCGTAGACATTAGTATCAGATCTAGAGTGGTGGGACTTTGCACTTATTTCAAAGCTTGAGTTCGGATTGAGTATAATTATATCTGCATCAGAACCGGCACGAATTGCTCCCTTCCTCGGATATATATTGAAAATCCTAGCACTGAAAATTTTGTGGACATTGAAATCATTTTAACGTATTTTAGGCAGCAGCATAATGGGAATTTATAGTAAACACAATTTGCTGCAAGAATACCATTCAGTACTTGTCACCCGGACATAGTCAGTAACAGAAATTTGACCAGATTCCTGAAAAATTAAAAATAATAAAAGATTATCCAAAACACTGATTCTAATTTAAGCTGCTTATTTAGGGGATGAGCAGGAATTTTATGGCAGCTTACCACCATTGTATCCCATACAAGATGCATCCTCTCCTCAATACCTAATATCCAGTTGCCGTGTTAAGTATTAGAAACTGAAATTGGCATAGAAAACAGAGTATATATCTT